GGGTGTCTGGCGTCACATTCGGTGTTCCCTCTACACAGCTGACACTCAGTGTGAGTGTTGTTTGCGGCTGCGGGACATATTGCGAATTCACGCTTCACGCAAGAAGAATGCCAGAGGGAAACGCACGAGACTTCTTCTCAGCCCTTCCAAAAAAGCCAACGTTGATACCCTACGCAAAGCCAGAATATCTGCCTTCAGGTCGAAAGTGCGACTTTTGAAATGGAAAAATGAGGTCAAGCAAGAGCTGTCAGCATGCCGCAGTAAGCTAGCCTCACTGGACGACGAGACAGTTGCCTCCGTTGCAGCAAAAGCCAACCTGCTGGAGCCACAGTGCCTCGTTTCGAAGGCGTGCATGGCTGGAAGTCGCCAATCAAAGCAAGGGAGGAAATACACCGATGACTGGATCCTTCTTTGTTTGCTTCTTCACATCTGTACGCCATCAGGCTACAGGTTCCTGCGAGAAAACGAGGTCCTTCCATTGCCTTGTGTAAGGACAATAAGGCGCTACATATCTATGGTGGGGTTCGAGACCGGCTTTGACGAGAACTTCTTTGCAGCCCTCAAGAAGAAGTTGCTGTAAAAAAAAACGAATTTCAACGACACGGCATGGTTCTCTTCGACGAGATGCAAGTCCGGAAAGCGAAATATTTGAGCTCAGAAACTATGTCATATGTCGGCCTTAGTGGCGATGGTGACAGTGCCACGTCTGAAGAGCTTGCTGACCACGCCTTAGTGTTTATGTTCTGCCCGTCTGGCGACAGTTATGCCCAACCGATCGGCGTTTTTGCTTCCGAGAATGCGTCAAAAGGTACGCTATTGGCGCAGTTGCTGCTTCAAGCGATTGTCATGTTGGAGGAAGTAGGAGCTAAGGTACACAAATTTGTGTGTGATGGAGCCAGCACGATCCGAAGCATGTAGAACATTTTGGGGATCAGTTGCAAAATAGGGAACTGCAAACATTTTTTTGAACATCCCAGTGATCCATCTCGGAAAATCTTCGCGTTCTCTGATGTACCACATCTGTTCAAGTGCATACGGAGCAGGCTGAAGAAACAGAGGTTCTTGAAAAAGGGTGGAGCTTGGATAAAGTGGTCGGATTATGCGGCAGTGTACAAGCAGGACCTGTTAGTGCCAGCTGGCTTAAGGGTTTGCCCTAAGATCACCAGCTCTCACATATACCCTTTAATTACCGAGATGATGAGAGTGAAACTGGCCACGCAAGTTTTCAGCCGTTCCATGGCCTCCGGGATGGAGTATTACAAGGAGCGGAATGTTTCCGAGCTTTGGAACTGCGATGCAACAAAGGAATTTACACTGATTCGCAATGACTTGTTTGATGCGATGAATCGCCGTTTCAAAAAAGAAGGAGTGACGTGCCAAAGCAGTGATTTTGCCATGATCATATATGGGCAAAAGTGGCTCGACGAGTGGGAGCACGAGCTGGTAAACAACGCAATTGTGAAGGACATGTTCCTAACAAAAAGCACGAGTGAAGGCTTGAAAGTGACACTGCAGTCCACAAAAGACATGTGCACCTTTCTCACACAATCCTGCAACTTCGGGTATGTGCTTATCGGAAAGTTCAACCAGGACCCCATTAAACGCTTTTTTGGAAAAATACGACAAGCTGGGTGTCAAGACGACCACCCAACCATGCCAACGTTCCTGCAGTTGTACAAGACGTTGTCTCTGTACAGCCTCTTAAAGCCTCCGATGTTTGGCAACTGTGCGGTGGTTGAAGGAGAGAAGCCAGCTTTAGACGTTTCTAATTTCAGAAGTCTTTTTCGCTCAGGAAGCCAGAAGAACAACATTGACTTTGTGACGGAGGTAAAAAAGAGGTTGGATGAATTTATTCTGCAAGAAGAATGGGAATGCGAAGACGCTGCATCTACACTAAAGTCATCGGTGCCAGAGGTCTCAGACTGCATTGTTTATTATTTATCAGGATTCCTCAGCAGGAAAATGACAAAAATGACCAGCTGTGACTCTTGCTTGGCCGCATTCACTGTGACAAGGAGTGATTCGGCAGAAGCTACCCTGACGAACTGCAAGAGCAGAGGGGGACTTGTACACCCTAGCATTCACTTCCACCGGATATTGAAATCTGCTGAGGGGATTTTTTCGAAGAACGCAGATAGAACACGACGTTTACTGGGGCACCATCGATTATGTTCTGGAAACCTGCGCCTTGTCATTTCCATGCGGTGAGCACAAAGGGGACGTCGTCTCCCAGATACTCCACTTCTATGTGAGCATGCGCATGAGGCAGCACTGCAAGCACGTAAGCTCCTCGCTGAAAAAGGAGGCGCAAAAAAAGAAGAAAGAAGCACGACTTTGTGCTAGCTGAAAGAACTGGCCACTGATTCATCTTTGTTTTGTTTTGAAAAACGTGAACATTCACGGAATTGTTCACTCACCCGTTTCTGCGAATGTGGAAACGTGTTTATCTATAAAATATGTAGCTTGCGTTCACTCATTCCTGGGTTATAATGGTTCCATATATTGAATAAATGTGCCTGTTCGCTATAAATTCATTTTAGACTTGAAAAGGTTTGACCAGTTTCCAGTACTTTTACTACCTCAATTCTTGAAATCTTGATAAAAAGGTCATAGAATGTTACAATGCCATAATATTTGGAAAGTACGTATAACTCCCATGGAAAGTAAACATATTCGGCAGATATCTGCCTGGTTGGGTGAGAGTCGTGAACTCCCATGTTCACGACTTTTATGAGTTTAGACGGGAATGAAATGAAAATGTATTTTAAGTTCTATACTTATCAGAAACGGGGCTGTGACAGAAGGGACTTCTGCGTCACAAGGAATTGCAGCGTTTTCGCCCATTTCATGCATGCGAGACGCTTCCTGTGTCGAAGCTTGAAGAAATAATAAAATTAATAAATACGTTTTCAGACACTTTTTGTTAAAATACCACTGTGTAAAGAAGGGAGTGTACTATTAAGTGACCAGGTTTTATTCGCTGACCATCTTTGTTGAAGGAGGTACGAACCAAAAATTTGATATTAGCCACATGGAGAAAGAAGCGACTGCGGCGCCATGTACGATTCCTAAGGCGTTTGAAAATCGCTACTGCGCTGAGAAACGCTTTGTTGACGTGACAGCGTACAGACGTAGAGGCTTAAACGTCTTATGTGTTTGACTCCCCATCGTGCAGCTCCCCTCACATTTTCTAATAAACAGAGCAGCACTTTGTAACGAAGTGCATGCTATTGGCATAGTAGTAAGTATACACATACTCTGTTCCACCATAAGTACGAGCGAAGCCAAAGCTATAAGCGCGAGCTACTCACTTGGTACATGAATGACGCGCAAGTGCAATGAAAAGGTTGTCAGGGAAACGTGCTGGCGCTTCTAGCATTGTATGCGCTCGCATTTAAGATGAAGCAAAGTATAGCAGCGATGCCAGAGTCACTGGGGAACTGGGCACCTCAAGAATGACTTCGAAAAACGCGATCTTTGCCGAAAACCCGAGGCGGCCAGCCCCGCCGGCCCGCGCCGCCGCGCTCCTGACGACGTATCCGAGGCCACCTGAATGAAGCGCCCCCTACCTCGAAGACCACTGGAGGCGAGAGTTGGCGCGAACGTCTTCTGGTCGACTCCCCGGCGGAGTATCCTCACCTAACCTCCTTTCTTACATTGTGGTCCATACCAACGTGAGACAAACTATATTGAGTTTTTGTGTTGCGTATACAAGGCAACGCAAGCATTGTACGTTTGTGACAGCGTTGAGTGTTCCACACTGCGCGTCTTCGAAGCTAATACTGCATCTTGAAATGGCGCACTGTCGACGACTCTTATGCAGCGTGCAGAACGCAACGATAACGCAAACTCACAGCTCTTGCGTCTGCGGCTGTAGGGAATACTAAAACACTATACTGAGTGACATGCGTTGAAAGGCGTGAAGCAAGAATCTAAGCATTAACGTTTATGACACATTTGTCAGGCAATGAACATGTGAACAAGAAGTCATGTGTAAGCTCAGCAGTCGCACCAGTGCTCCAGTGAGATAGGACTCATCTTTTTATCCGATAATTAACAACAAAAAGTACGACACACTTCACATTGCGATATTTCTTATCCCAGCCACAATGAAAGGTTATTCGGAAATGTTGCGCTGTTCAAGTCTGAAGCAATATCTAGGAGTGTGTTTTTCCACGGCTTGAACCGTTAGGAAGCTGCGGCCATGTAAAAAACGGAAACTGATTTGCGGTTAAGCTCCTTTTTGCGGTAACTGCGTTGGTGCCACTGAAGAAGCCATTCGCAACTCCAGCGACGGACACTGACCGCCGTATTCTTAAACGCTACTCGACTCGAAACTCGACTCGAAACTCGACTTGAGGGTGGTTTTGCGATTCATAAACAAATCTCCACTCGAAACTCCACTCGACTCCAAAATCTCCACTCGAAACTCCAAAATTTACTCGAGATCTCGAGTCTGCGCCGGAGCTACCTTGAACGGCCACTCGAGTCACTCGAGTGCGTTCAGTGTCATGGCGGCCTACGCATCGTTCGCCGACTTCGTCGACTTCGTGTTAAGAACGGACGAAGTTCTTCACGACGACCGAGACCCCGACCAGGACGTCGATGTGCCGAGACGACGTTGCCGGGACCGGCTCAATCCGCTGGAGCATTTCAACGATTGGGAATTCCTGGTGCGCTATCGTTTTACAAAATCGACAGTTGTAAGCCTCCTGCAGTGCCTGCCGCTGGAAGCAAACGAGAGCAGTCGCGGCCTGCCACTGTCCCCGATGCTCCAGCTCCTCGTAGCGCTAAGATTTTATGGCGCCGGGACTTTTCAAGTAGTCACGGGCGACCTCGTAAACGTGTCGCAGCCGACGGTGTGCCGCGTAATCGAGCGCGTCTCCCGGGTCCTCGCCGAGACTCTCTTCCCCCGCCTCGTGGATTTCCCGGAGGGCGACTGCGACGAGGTCATGCGGGATTTCTACAACATCGGGAAGTTTCCCAGTGTGACTGGGTGCATCGACTGCACCCACGTCAAAATAAAGGGACCTGGCGGTCCCAATGGGGAAGTCTTCAGGAACAGGAAAGGGTTCTTCTCCCTCAACGTGCAGGTAAGTTCCCTTCTGTTTGTGCTGTTAGCAACAGCGAAAAAGTTGAAAACAACGGCACGCCAAGACGCGGCGTCGCACGTGAAAGCTCGGCGATATTGTGACTGATATATACTAGAACTTGTGAAGAGATCTGCATTCTGCGACAGTGCAGAGTGGTGGTGGGCCAGCTAGAGAGGGTTCAAAACCAAGAATTATGTATTGTGTGTTTGGAAACATACATTTGATTGGGTGCCGAGATGGCTTTTGTTATTTTATAGCAAACGCTCATGCTTCATAGTATTTTCCCCTTGAATTATACTTTTCGAAGAAAATATTAGGGAGATTTTATGCCGTGCTCAAATTCTCTTCTATTATACCGCGTGAAAAACCTAGGAATTAAGCCACATTGAAGCTTACGTCACATAAAACTGCGAGAACTCAAATGCTAGTTAATTTCCAAAGCTTGCGGATGCACTTTGTCAAAAATATACTAATCATAGTAGAAATATCAGCTTGAGCACTTGTGTTCATATCATGGCAACCTGCTCATCCCTGTACTGCTCCTTCCTATCCACAGGCCATCACAGGACCCCAGCTGCAGTTTTTTGACCTTGTTGCTAGATGGCCAGGCTCCGTGCATGACAGCAGGATATTCGATAACAGTCGTGCAAGGGTCCTGTACGAGAATCGGCGCATCCCTGGCCTGCTGCTCGGAGATGCAGGCTATGCCTGCATGTCATTTCTTCTGACGCCCCTGACCAGCCCAGGTGTAGCCAACAGCCCAAAGGGCAGGTATGTACTAGTTTGTTGAAAGAAATAATGGCATGAAATTCAGAACAGCTAACAAGAAGTGATGCTGTAGCCACAGTGTTCCTATTGGTTACTATTAGTTCTGCAAATCTTTGTCACAGCTAGATTCACGACCTTTGGGCCTTTGTATGGCAAAAAAAGCTGGCATTATTCCCTTCCTGTGGACAAATTTTTGTTTTAAAAGTATGTAGCATACAACATTTTAGTTCTATTTTTATTTTCCTTGAGAACATTTGTTGTTCTTCCTCGTCACAGTTAGTCGGTGTCAATTGTTGCTTTTTGTCACTAGAATTGGACTAGGGCCAAGAACTTGAATTAAGACGGTAATGTAGAAAACACCAGCCAAAAACACTGTATGCAGGACAGTAGCCTCTGGTACGCAATAGAAAATGCAGCTAGCATGGATGGGCCGCACTGTACAGGTTACTGAACCATACTGATGGTTGCAGCAGTGGCGATATTTACACCTGAAGACCTTTATCTTGCAACGTTGCTTCCATTACCAATGCTGCACCATATAGGTACCAAGCAGCTCACCTAAAAACAAGGAACTCGGTCGAACGGGCATTTGGAGTGTTCAAGCGACGCTTCCCATGCCTGGACATGCGGCTACAGTACAAGGCGGAACGGTCAGCCCTCATCATCACCGCCAGTGCTGCACTGCACAATCTGGCCCTGCTGCGAAAAGAGCCATGCCCACCTGCTCTACCCTCTCCACCAGTACCCCGACGCCGGAGGCGGCTGCGTCCTCATGTACTGCCATCACCTCCAGACCCTGTCGACACAATCAACGGCTCGCTGAAACGCACACAGATCATCGGACTGTGTTTCCAATAGGGGTATTCAACCAGTAGCACATGTTTATAGTCAATGACAGGTCAAGGATAGTGTACAAGCTGGAGAGGAGGAAGCAGACAGAAGCTTGAGGTGGAGAGGAGAAACCTCCTCACCACTTAAAGCTTCCGTCCTATTTCTCCTCTCCAGCTTGTACTCCGTTCTTGACCCGTCACTGACTCGTGCAAATACTCGGACACGAATCCAGTAGTAAGCTCTCGAATAAATTGATTCTTAAATCAAATTCCGGGTATTCGGTCATTTAAACATATTCTGGGAAAGACTTGTGGCCAGCACAGAGCTAATGAAAGACCTGCCCTTTCCTTCGATGCTAGTGTGCTGTTTCATTCAACTTCCGAATACGCAAAACACATTTGGTTCTACCATTTCACTACAATGTAGCGCACATAATTAAAATAAATAAGTAAATCCTCAGAATGCTACTAAACTGAAAGAACCCAAATTTAATCATGATTCCCACACCCTTGTTGCTTGCAGCGCAGGGCTGCCAGCTGCTCCACCTTTATCTCTCTCTCCAGCTGGAGCAGCTGGAACTCTGCCCGTCCGCGTCGTCGCTGCTCGAACAACTTGTTTCGGAGTATGCGCATCTCCATTAAATGTTGCGCCTCCTTTCGCTGATCTTCCCTCTCGAGGATGTCGACACGGGCATCCTTTTCGGGAGCCAGGATCCGCTCTAATGCTGCGATGCGGTTCCCAGCTTTTCTGGATGCCCCGCTTGGCAGCTCAGCACGGGGGCAGGTAATGCCCCTTGCCGGTGGAGTCGCATACGCAGCTCCAACGCTGCTCTCTTGGAGAGGTGAGGCGGACGGCTCAGGAGCATCTGGGCATACAAAACACATTGGCACTGTGAGTGCTAGGGGAAGAGCAGGTACACAGGGGAAGAGGTCCAACAGCCCCATGGGCCTTTTGCAGAAATGTTCAAAGCTAGGCGTTGGCAAACTACGAAGCGTGTCCGATGGGTTATGCTCTGCACCAGTTCTAGCACTGTGGATGGTTTATGGTTGCATTATCATATAATCTGTGTCCCTCTGCTTCAACTTTCACGTCGTGCTTTGACTACATGCGTTTTTGCCCCGATAGCATGTTTTGTTCAGTTGGTTAACGACAGACTTTGCCATGTCGGACAGCTGATGCGATCAAATTCCTATGTGAGAAACAAACAAGAGTAACTGCACTATGTAAACCTTCCTCAAAGGGGACACCACAACATGTGTACACTCAGACGGTTGTTATGGCAGACACTTTGTTAAGAGCAAATATGTGCAAGCTTGTCGCTAACTTGCAGCAGTGAACAAAAAGTTGGGGCACAAACAAGCTGGTGAAAGTTTAACAAAAATTAAAGGCGAAAACCCCGAGACTGGGGAAAAGAGTGACAGCACAACACGCAAGTCTCAAACACAGCTGAAATTTATTGCGCAGAGGTTCGTGTGTACTCATGTTTACAAACAAACCGGAGCGCTCCCAGCGGACGCCACCGGCGCCGCGCATGCGCGATGGAGTGTGGGCAAGAACCTCGCCGTCGCCCATAAACAAACCATTGAAATGCGATGTTGTCCGCGTCGGTATGAGTCCCCCCGCCCCTTTTTCGCGTTCGAATTGTTGATTCGACGTCTTTCTGGCAATGTCTGACTACTTCAGCAGCCTCAGTGAAATTACCGAGGCTCGTTACGCCGCAAAACTTCGCATGAATAATGTGACATGCGGCGATTCATTCCGCGTGGACGCCGCAGAATGGACGCTAAAGCCTGATTCGCATGATGACATTTTGCTCGCAAATTTCAGTCGCAACGTCACTCGAACTGCAAAAGCGTGAACCGTAGCTCAGATGGTCGACGTCGATACTGAAAATCGCAAACAGAATCGGACGGACCAAGTGAATCAGGCATAAGAAGTCGGTGATGGCCACTGGTAACAATGATCAACATCTCCTTGCATCTACTGTTTACATCGAGTCTGCTTACCAACTTTAAAACTTAAGTCTTTTGAGCCCTGTGCTTACTTCTTATCGCAAGTACCGAGCCAAGATTTGATCTACGGGCCGGTGTCGTCTAAAAGAGCAGACAAGCAGAAACATTTGAAAGAGCAGACGACAGTTCGAACGACCACGCGGCCGCTTGAACTTGAATGCGCACTGAACGTAGTTCGCAAGTGGTCCGTACAACTTGACGGTTTTCCGGCGTTTATGTTGGAACAAAGCAAATAAATCTGACGACCACAAGTATCCGTGAATTCAGCCCAAAGTGCTTCACGCCCAAGCAATCGTGGTCCGAAGGCGTCTGGTTTTCCCTTTTCACGGCATATTTCCACGTCGTGGGACGAACCGAGCGAATGAGAACTGACCTTAAAACTTTTCTCCACCCTTTCGGCACTGCCCCAGTTGCGGCGTTTTGACAAGAAGGCAGGTTTTTGCCTGGTTTCTTTGAAAACAAGGCAGGAATACACGTCTCATATGGGGACATCCGCCCACAGCTCCAGACCGGAAGTGCGTCCGACGCGCCACCACCGCGTCGTGACGTAACAGAGATGAGTTGGTGTATAGGGTCTCCAAGCCCCCCCAGCTGTGTTTGAGACTCGTGTGTTGTGCTGTTGTTTTTTTTCCCGTTCCTGGGTTGTTGCCTTAAATTATGTTACAACATGGGTTGTCTTGTCAGATTGTATCTCCAGGAAAACAAATAAATCAGCATTTGGATTTAAACACATCTTTAGCAGAAAATCTTAATATTTTATACTTCCCTGAATGAGTAATTAATTTTTAAACAGCTTAAACTGATCCTCAAATGAGCAGTGTTTACATTGTCGACCTTGACAACAGCAGAGGCTCTGTAGTAGCAGAATGCAAAGAGATTTATTTGTGTCCCTCCATTTTTTTTTTGTTGCCCGTAACAGCAGTGCAAGTGTTACGATGTGGCTCATTGTTGTTGTGCTAGATATTTTTCGTGAATGGGACGAGACTTTTGTGGTTGTCACCTTTCATACTTTTCCATGAAATATATAGCAGCTGTAAAATGGATTAGTGCAATGCGTCGCAAGCACTCTATTTCCATGAAGGAATTTTGGGAAAAAAGACCTACAATCGCTGATGAACATAGGTCGGCATTTTAGAGCCCCTTCATTCACCATCACATCACGAACAAAATCACGTCTCCAAATTCATTCGCATTCACGTCACAAGGGACTCCGACCTCCCAAAGTCACGGCCCATCACATCCCGGCGTTCAACCGCGCCAAAACTTCATCCCCTTCACATCACGGCTTTCAAGCTCCGCCGAGAATTCATCCCCTTCACATCACGGCGTTCAACCGCGCCAAGAATTCATCCCCATCACATCACCGCCGCCTCCGAATTCACGGAGTCATTCACCATCACATCACCAATTCACGAAGTCATTCACCATCACCACGAATTCATCGGAATTCACCATCGTGAACTTATCGGAATTCGCCATCCCATCATGAATTCATCCGAATTCACCATCACTTCACGAATTCATCCAAATTCACCATCACTTCACGAGGTCATCCGAATTCACCATGACATCACGAATTCATTCGAATTCACCCTCACATCACGAATTCATCTGAATTCACCATCACATCATGGATTCATCCGAATTAACCATCACTTCACGAAGTTATTCACCATCATGGTCAACACGAATTCACCGGAATTCGCCATCACATCATGAATTCGGCATAATTCACGAACTCATTCAGGTTCATTCTGACTAAATTTGACTTCACGGCTGGTAGCCCTTCACGAGTTCGTAGTTCCTGCGGAATAGTACTGTGGCGACTTTTTATGTCTGCCACTTGAAACCAGGACCTGACTTCGTCGGGAAAGTGGGGTATTTCGAGTGCGCAAAACTCAAAACACATTGATAGAGCGCCGACCCAGCCAATGCCGCACTGTGATTGTGTCACGTGAATGTGTTCCATGCGCCGCCTCGCGGAACCGGCAGGTCACTTGATACGGTCTCGGCGCCGGATCAGGTGCGCCTGCTCGTGACGTCGGCTTCGTCTTCGTCTCTTCATTGCCACTGCTACCGCACTTCCCTTATAAACAGCTGGTACTTCGAAAGTGCTCGACACAGAGCCACTGCGCTGAGGCGCGCACGGCTACGCAGCGAGACCCAAACCGCTAAAGTAAAATCGGTTCCTGTCAATTGCGGTGAAGGATGAAAACAACCAGCAAGCAAACAAGCACCTGCGTAACATGTTTTCCACCTATTCTGAATTAATAACCGTATTTACTATCGCGTCGAGAATTATAAGTTCACGGTATTACTTCCCATCACAAACTTGTCAACTTCACGAGCCACTCACATCACAAATCAATTGTGTTCAAGAGCCATTCACCATCACGTCACGAATTCATTGAGTTATTCACATCACAATGAATTCTCTTCAGTTTATGAAGTCATTCACAATCACAACGCATCATGAGTTCATTCAAATTCACGAAGTCATTCACCATCACATCACGACTTCATTCAACATCACATCACGACTTCATTCAACATCACATCACGAATTCATTGAAATTCACGAAGTCATTCACCATCACATCACAAATTCATTCAAAATCACGAAGTCATTCACCATCACTTCACGACTTCATTCACCATCACATCATGACTTCACGACTTCATTCACCATCACATCACGAATGCATTCAAATTCACGAATTCTTTCACCATCACATCACGAATTCATTTACATTCACGAAGTTATTCACCATCACATCACGAATTCATTTAAATTCACAAAGTCATTCACCATCACATCAT